CTCAGAAGCATGCAGCATCGAGCTCCTCACACACATCAAATACACACGACCCCGGGTGAACAGTGGTAGATGGCGGTTGGTGAGAAGTGATAGCAGCTGCCGGAATTTGCCCCATGCATACTTGCAGCGCGTGATAGTAGCTAGCTTGCAGCCTCCCCCTGCAGAAAGCATGTCTCCAATGTAGCAGAACTCTGGAACCACTTCGAGTTTGTCAGCACCAATCATCACCTGCTGCATCGGTCTCCCGTGAACTCAGGGTCTTGGTGTAGTAGGCCCAAACTGCCGCTGCATTTCTTGTGCACCCAGAACGAGCAGCCAATGCAAAGGATTGCGTTGATACCAGTTCCTGTGAGGCAGACAGCACAAGGATGCTTACCGGACTTCTTCAGCAGGTCCAAGTCCAGGCCAGATACCAAGATCTTTGTCTTCCCCATGTTCACCAGCAGGCCCTTCTTCTCCATCCCCGACTTCTACATGTTCACCTTCTCCAACAGCTCCTCCAAGGACTCGGCAATTGCCACCAAGTCATCTGCATAAAGCAGCTCCCATGGACAGTCTTCGCGGAACTCCATGGAGAGGGCCTCCAGCACGATGATGAAAAGAAACAGGCTCATAACTGAGCCCTGATGCACTCCTACTCCAACACCAAACTCCTCGCTGTACTCGACGCCAACTCTCACTCTGCTTCTCACGTTCGAGTAAATGGACTGGACCAGCCGAACCAGCCACTCGTCGATCCCGAGCTTGCGCATCGCCCACCAGATGACGTCACGAGGGACATGGTCGAATGCCTTCTCCAGCTCGATGAAGGCCATGTAGAGTGGTTTGTTCGCTGCCATGTATTTCTCCTGTAGCTGACGAACGATAACGATCGCGTCAGTAGTGCCATGGCCCGGCATGAAGCCAAACTGCATTACGTCGATTCCCCACTCTCTTCCTGATAAATCCCTCTACCACTCGCCCAATCAACTTCAGGCCCCTGTAGTTCCCTCTGTCCAGAGCCTCGCCCTTTCCCTTAAACAAGTTGACAATGTAGCTTTCCTGCCATTCAGACAGAATCTGGCCCTCGATATGATGGTCTCGAGACCACGCACCAAGACCGCACCAGCTTCCCCGGCAGGCTTCAGCATCTCAGCAATGATACCAGATGGCCCAGCGGCTTTGCCAAGAGACATCTTGTGGATGGCCTTGGTTATTATCCCTGTGGTGATCGGTTCACAAGGGCCTTCAACTGGAGATTCCTCTGACAAATCCTTGGGGTTCCACTCAAACTCCACATTGAGCAGCCGCTCGTAGTGTTGCTTCCAAGCTTGCTTCTTGGCATCCACATCAAGCGAGAGTTTGCCAGCATCATTTCTTTGACAGGTTTCCCCCCGAAACATCCTGGTTGTCACGTGGTGGAGGGATAGTGACGTGAGGATCCCATATTTGTGGTGTTGGCGAGCCGTTAGATGTCTGAGCCGTCGTTGGTTGATTAATTCTCAGAACAACCCTCAGCTTCGCTCTTGCATGAGACCGGCACAATTGGATGACTCCGCTTGCTGCTTGTATGGCTTCAGTCACGGCTACCTCCCAGCCTTCCACGCCTACACATCTTCGCTCTCCCTCACTTCACTAGTCCACGCAAGCCGTTCCACACGCATGTCTGCTATTTTTCCAACTGGTGTTTAGAAGAGACACCACACACCTGTCTCCACACCTTTCAACAGTTGTCCTTCAGCGAAGACCATCGCGTTGCATCTACTGTTATCTGCTTTTGTGATTAATCTGCTGACGTGTCCTGTGTCTTTGGCCAACAAAAACTTCTGAGAAAAACTCACCTGTTTCTCATTTGGCTCAGCGGCCTGAGGGACTTCGCGGCCCGGTAGCTGTCCACCAGCCGTTGACGACGGGGCCGAGCAGAACGTTGCGCTTGGGTGTATCTGGATGCAACTGTAAAGTTCTCCGAGCCACTAGTCTATGTTGCGATGCACACTCCTCCCACTAAGGAATGACCTTAACATTTGACACCTGTCTTCTGAAATTGCGCAGGAACAGGATGAGATCGATCTGTGTAGCGGCTGTTCCAGACTGGTAAGTGACGAGGTGCCTAGCTTTCTTCTTGTACCAGAAGTTGCCAACAACGAGCTCATTAGCAAACGCAAACTCCAACACTCTCTCCCCTTTGGTGTTCCGCTGCCCGATGGCCTGCCCACCATGCACTTCTCTGAAGCCAGTGGATTCAGCGCCGATGTGCCCGTTCCAGTCACCAAAAATAATGAGCTGCTCCGAGGCCGGGTCCTTGGCAACAGCACTCTGCAGCATCTGGTATAAGCGGTCTTTCTCAGCATCGCTGAGGCCGACCTGAGGCACATACACTCACACAAACGCGAACACTGTCCTGCCGATGACCATTCGGACTAGAAGAATCCTGTCTAAGACTTTCATGACCTCAAACACTTTCTCCCATCACTTCTCCGCCAGTAATACTCCTACCCCACTAGTGCCCTTGTCATTTCCGGACCAGGAGAACTTGTAGCGCGAGTCTTTACCATCGATTATCTTGATACCATCCATCTTCCACCTCGTTTCCTGGAGACAACACAAGTCCACTTTTCTCCGTGTCATTGTCTCCACAACTTCACTAGCTTTACCCCGCATTGTGCCCACATTGAGCGTGCCAACCAGGAAGGACTTTCGGCGTTCGCTAGATTCGCCGCAATGGCCCTACCCTTCAGCCCCACGCACCCCGAGGTCTGCCAAGCCGGAGGCACTACTGGCTCTTCTAATGGAGCCAGCACCACCTGTACGGATTCTTTGATTATGACTAGTCATGTTTGTGTTGTGGCGATTTTACAGCAGGATGCCCTTCCTTTGCCAACCTGTTGCAGATCAGGGGTCTGAGTGTTTTTCAAGTGACACCATCACCAGGACTTTTACATCAGAGGTCCTAACTCCTAGTCTTTGCGAAGTGCGAACCAACGCTACCCACAGGACAATGGAGGTTTTGACTTCAGGCTTTCCTTGTCTTAGATGTGATGCCTTCACTGCAGCTAAAGGAGTCACATCTACCCCAATTTTATATCAGACTTTCCATGTCCTATATGGGTTGCTTTCACTGCAGCTAAAGAGCCCCATCTGCCCCATCTGCCAGTTGCCGGATAAGACGCCAGGTTGACAGGTCAGATCCGCCGGTGGGTGCACGAAGGCCGTATCCCTGGCCAAGGGAGGCTAAGGGTGTGCTAACACTTGCCCGAGGTGTACACCCAGGCTAGTGGAGGAACGGAGACGCCTTACTTCTCCATTCTATACCAGCACCATGCAAGGCCTAGCCACTGCCCCCTTACATAACCTATTCATTAACTGCATGAATCTTCCAAATAAGCACATGCATTATTGTTAATTTCTTTAGTTTTGAACTTCTGGGGGCCGTTGTCAGAAACAAAATTAGTCGCAATATTAGTCTTACCATTAACTTTCACTCGTAAACCGTTGACAGAAACATCTTAATGTTACGAGAACGAAAAATCCTCCCAAATATCCTTATAACATTACGAGAGCCCAGACCCTCTCATAAGCCACCATTTTTTATTATGTTGGTTTACAGAATTTTTGTTGTTGTTGTTGTTGACTCGGTAGGGTAAAAAAAAAAGACAAAAAAAAGTTGTTTTGTCAGATCAAACAAGTCAAAATACAGTGATACTGTTATACATGATCAGTGCTCGAAATAAGAAAAAAAATGTGGTTGTCCTGCGGACAACCCAGGCATCAAATCGGGTT